TTTCCATTAATCTTTAATATAATCATATAATTAAAAAATCTAATATAATCTAAAATACTTCTAATATACTTTAATATATTCACCTATATATGTACTAAAGTACATAACATATTTCGATAATGAACAGACAATAACATCGATCTTGGTGGCGTAAACAATAGCGGGCTAATGTTTATTTGTCATAGTCTTGAAAAATGTTTCGATAAAAAAAATAATAATAGCACGGTTTTCGGTCTTGGCGTATGATATCAGATTAATTTTTCGGCACTATTATCATTCGCGCGACGACATTCAACGAGTAAATACTGGTACGAGACGCTCCGTTAAAAATTCTTTTTCTTGACACGATTGTGATCAATATCAAAACATTGTTTGTCGTATTAAAGTACGTAAAATATATTTCGAGGAACGAATAATAATACGGTGTTCGGCTTTGACAACGTAAACAATAATGCGCTAATGTTTACGTCACACGGTTTTGGTATCATTCTTGCGGCGACACTCGAGCAATAAAGATGGTAGTGCGAAATATGTCGTAAAATTACGTTATTAAATTAATTATTAATTAAACGACTATTGTATCATGACTTTCAATTACTATATTAAACTTTTGAATCTATAAGTCGGATTAATATACACACATATATATATACATGTACGATCGCGGAATAATTACGAGAAACGTTTTAATATATCATATAAGGGATAGAGAAGTACAATTCGCTCTTTTTATGAGATCTTTTATGAGATCAAATTAAATACTAACTCATTACAAATATTCTAATTGTTTTATATATATATATATATATATATATATATATATATATATATAAACATAAAATTGAAACGAAAGAAAAAAAGGTCTTGGAAATGGATGAATCAATAAGATATGATGTAAGTCATAAATATTTTTATAAGTTATAAAATTTATATAGTATAATACAAAATTAATTATATATTATATTATATATAAAATTATATATAATATAATTATATATAATATAACCCTCCCATGGGGTACACCTTGTCGTGGTGGGAGGGCTTAGTACTTGGATGGTGCCTTGAGGTTTAGCTTAAATTTTTAAATTTATGATAAATTTTAAGGTACTTGAATAGGAAGCTAAGTACCCTTTCGCGTCGTCGGTGCCGTCAACGTGCCGAGGACGACAAGCGTTTCGTTATCGCGTTTTCGCATTGTAGTATTTTCGCGTCGTCGCGTTTTGACTCGAATAGATTCTCGTAAGTGAAATGGGATTTTCGCTCGTACCGAAACCGGGAGTGCCGTTAGAAGTATATACATATTAAGTATATACATCGCGCGATCAAATATAAAAATTTTAATCGCATCGAAATAGTGCGGGGAGTGCCGTTCAGTATCGCGCGTAAAATAACGAAAATAGCGATATAAAAATATCGCTCGCGAGTGCGGGAGTGTCGTTAAAAATATCGCACGTCAACAATATGAGAGGAGGAAGAGGCCTGGGAGAGGCATCTTGCATCAGCGGAGCAACCTGATGGTGAATATTTATTATTTATATATTAACTGTTATAAATTGTTAATAACTTGATATAAATGAACAATAATTCGATCTTATTATTTAAATGAATTAAAGAGAAAGATTTTTATAAAAGTTAAATATAAAATTTTCTATTTAAATATACTAGAAACATTCCTTGATTAAAAAGAAACTAATATGTAAAAGATAGTATCGAACTATAATACGTTATAGTTATCGAGAATATTTCTGGCAAATAATCCGAGCTCACTGAAACGCTCCCTCCGTCTTTTTGCCAACCTTAGATTGGCAGTAGTCGGGAGTAAAAAACAGTTTCAAAAATTTATAAAATTTTTCGATATGTGTTTATTTGCTTATTATTTTACACATCGGATATAAAATTCCGCGTGATAAAAATTATTTTAAATATTATTTGAATTTTGTGAGCATTATTATAAATGAATTTTATATTTGTATGTTACAGACAACGTAGCTTCAATATCAACTCCGCTGTTGCGCATCAGTGCCGGTGAGTGAAAAAAACTTTTATTTAACTTTAAGGTAACGGATTCATAGAGATTGCAGATGTAGATGTAGATGTATATTATAGATTGTAGATAAATTCGTTGCCTTAAAATGGATGAGCTAGGATGGATTAAATTAAATAAATTAAATTAAATAATTTTAATAAGTTCTTTTGAACTTGCGTTTTGCATCTATTCCGAAAATTTATTGAAATATTAATTAAAAAAAGAATAGATCAAGAAAAGATTTTGTTGTAAAACCTTTGTCTAATTTATTAAATAAAAAACACGCATTAACTTTTATCAATGTTATAAATATTTGATGCTAATTTATTCTTATAATACGCACTTATCTTCCAATTGTTCACAGCTCATCCATCGTAGAATTTGTTTGTAGATATTGTTTTTAAACTTTACTTTAACTGAATATAAAGCTAAATAATTAATTAATTAAATAATTTATAATATGATAAATACACACATTAATTTTATATTTTATTATAAAATATAATTTATAGAAATATGTAGTAATTTGGTTTTATTTCAGTTAAAATAAAGTTATATTCAATATTTAACGAACGATCGTGAAATCGAACGATCGTTACTAAATGAGCGTAAATATTTCACGCTCTTTTGCCGGTAATTATAAGAAGGAGTCATAAGAAGGAGTAATTATCTTCTTCGATCTCTGATTAGAGATCGAGAAAGAAAGGCCAAGATCAACGAAAGGTAGGTTCAACTGGCCTGAGGAATACTGTTAGAGTACGCGGTTAGGGCACGCGGTTAGGGCACGCGGTTAGGTGACTAAAATATATAGATGATTAGATGAGGTGATGATTAGAGATAGGTCCCTCAAATCTCGAATAATTTTAGTTAATCAGGAAATAGGGTTGTTAAGGCTATTAAGTAAAATCATTAGAATTCTTCTATTAATATTAGGGTTGTTAGGGCTCTTAATATCATTAGAATTCTATAATAGTAGGGTTGTTAGAACTATTAAAATTATTAGAATTCTTTAATAATAGGGTTGTTAGGGCTATTAAGAAAGATTCATTCTTTCTTTTAATATTTCAATAATCCTAGAGGTAAATTTAAATTATTTTAATTAAGTTGAATTTATTTTTAAAAACGTTGTAAAAATAAATGTAACATGTTTTAAAAATAAAAATGTTTTAAAAGTGAAATTTATATTATCAAAATTATTTTCAGAAATATTAAAGAAATAATTGCATAATTATTAACGTTTAAGAAATCTTAACATGTTATATTTTATTTTAAAACTTAAAAATATATGCGTATTAAATCAAATATAATATTAAATCCAAATGTTAATGCTATCAATATGAAATTATTATATTGATGTTATTAAATATTTGAATAAATGGAATATTATTTGATATTGATATTATTTGATATTGATAGCATCATAAATTTGTAAATTGTAAATTGTAAATTATAAATAATTATAATTGTATTATAATCTAACATTGGTATTTTAATTATAAAATACAATACAATTATGACTATAATTATATTATATAAAATTGTATTTACGATTGTAAATTCTTATGCAAAATTACACGAAAAATTATCGAAAGTATACGTATAATGATTACATAATAGTAATTAATATAATAGTAATTCATTAAATTAAAGTATTTGTTTCTGTAGTACATATTTTTGGAATATTCATAAAAGAGTAACACTTTGTATTTTTAAGTCAAAGAGTCATTAATAAATTCGAAAAATTTTTTTATAAAATGTAAAAATTCGATGCTAAAGCTAAATTAATGATTAAATATAAGCATTATAAAATTTAACGGATGCCTTCATTACAGAAACGCGAGTCAATTATTATAAATTTAATGATATGCTTTCCGCTTTATTTATTTATGAATTCCATATCGCGCGGAACTGAATATTCTTAAAATAAATTATTAAATTATGATTAAGAAAATACCGTGTTCTTTCCACGTTCTCTTCGCGTCCTTATACAAGATTATCATTTTAACAGAAGAATTTTAGCGCTGTTCCTCTCGTCAGATAATATTTCTAAATATTGCTAATTAAATATAAAGAAATGTCAAATAAGAAAGTGAAGATTCGATGTGATAAATCAACGATTAAATATTAGCTTCACAAAATTTAACATCTTCGATATTATAGAATCGCCAGTTAATTATGAATTTAATAATTTGTTTTTTCAGTTATTTGTATTTACAAATTTTTTTTTCGTATCGGAAAATATTCATAAATAAATTAATAAATTACCATTGCGAAAACACCATTGCAAAAACACGTGTTTTCCTTGCGTTCTTTTTCGCGTTCTTAAACGAGATTATCGTTTTAATAAAAGAATTATCGTTGTTTTGTTCGTTAGGTAAATGTTAACGAAAGTTGCGTGGCTCGTATCGCCGAGGAGTCGAAACGATTTTCATCATGGAGAATTATTTCTTAGTTTCTCAGTTTTTGTAAGATCTATTCCCCTAGTTCGGTGTCCCGTTGAAAATTGGGAATTTTCATTGTAAGATTGGAACTAATCCCAGGTTTTCCTGGCAATTTCCGAAAGCAATGATTTCGATAGTAATTCAACGACGATACGTTTTTTTAACGTCGAATTAATTTAAATAATATATATTTAGATGAGAGAAATGTATCTTTTCTTTTCTTCGTTAAAAATGTTCTATCATTATTAGGATAGATATTATTGTCTATATATATAATGTCAGAAAGATTTAATAGTAGATTATCACATAAGATTCTATTCTTCTCGCATAAGATTCTATACTTATCGCATAAGATTCTATTCTTAGCGCAATTTTTTCATATCATTAATTTGGAGGACATATTATAATAATAATTATATATTAAAATATTTTATTGTGTGCGCCGCATAAAATTAGCGCCCTTTTTACCTTTTTTATATGTGAGGACCATTTTTTTTATACTGAGGACCATTTAAACCATAGTCTGTTTCGAAATGTCGATACTCGTAGCTGGAAAACTGGCACTTGTTACCGGTTCGTGGATACTTTTTTAATTAATTTAATTTAATCAGATTTTTATTCCGAAGAAATAAATAGCAAAATTTGCTCAGAGGAATCGTTATTTAGCAAAAATGTGTTAGATTATTAAAATGTCTAAGTAACGCGTAATCTTATTAGTTGTTCCTCGATTCTGTGATAGATGCTGGAAGCGGCATCGGAAGAGAAGTATGTCGAGTTTTAGCTCGTGAAGGCGCAAACGTTGTCGCAGCCGATCAGAATATCACAACTGCTCAGGAAACTGTTGCCTTTTTAGAAGGTTTATATATATACATGTATATATATATATATATATATATATATATATATATAAAATATATTTTTGAAACTGATACAAAGTTCATTTTCATATACTTAACATTGAAATTTTATAGTTTATTGAGATTATATTTATTTCTCTCAATAATTAATTCTATTTTATGATCATTAATATGTTATATAGCAAATATATGCATCTGAAAATGAACTCTGTATCATGTATACTTTTGTTTGCAGGTACTGAACATATTGCATTGCATATTAATGTTGAGGATCGAAACAGTGTCAAAACTGCGTTTAAAGATGTCGTGAAGCAATATTCAAAGCCTCCTACTATCATTGTTAATTCGGCAGGCATCGTGCGAAAAATATTTTTGATGAAACTCGATGACAGTAATTTTGATGATGTCATTAATGTCAATTTAAAAGGTACCTTTTTAGTGACGCAAATTGCTGTCAAAATGTTGATAGAGGGAAATGCAACCACAAATTCCTCAATTATCAATATAAGTTCGATTGCTGCTAATGATAGATACGTTGGATATAGTACTTATAACGCGTCAAAAGCTGGAGTGATAATTATGACAAAGAGCGCTTCATTGGAGTTTGGACAGTATGTATTAGATATATATCTTGATTATTTATTTAGAAAGTTTGCTAACATGTAACTGTATTATGTATTCTACAGATTTGGAATTCGTGTAAACGCAGTATTTCCTGGTTTTATAGACGCTCCTATGACTTCACATATATCTAAGGAAGCTAGGGAAATGCATATAAAAAATATTCCATTACAAAGATTTGGAAAGCCAGAAGAAGTAGCAGAGGTTATCGTGTTTTTAGCTTCTGATAGAAGTTCTTACATAAATGGAGCCTCTATTGAAGTTACTGGAAGATTGAATTAGAATTGAATTAAGTTTTATTATTCGAGTATACATATATATTAGTACCATATAAATAGGTTATTAATCAAGAATTATATATATATATATATATATATATATATATATATGTGTGTAAAAAGCTTGCTTTTTTATAGTGATCTGTTGAATTCGCGACAAAATTATAGAATTTCATTTATAATTTTACATTTTACATATTCTCATATTTTGATATATGTATATTTCGTATATATCGATATTTTTTTTTTTTTATTGTTTTTTTATATTTTTCATGAAATTATATATTACAATATAAAGAAAAATATAATTATATAAAATTCCATTCTGAATTTTGTCGAGAATTTGGAAGGAATTCATGTGAAGCAATCTTTAAACATACATATTAATATTTTTTTGCATATTAATATATATTTTTTAGGGAAATTGATGTATGCACACATATTTGCTATTATATTTTGGTGTTTTTGTTTTATTGGTGTATGTATAATATATATATTTGGTATTATATTTTTATAATATTAAAAATAAAAATATAAAATTATGTAAATATTTTTACACACATTTTTTAAGCACATAAAATGTCTTACATAATTAATATTACTTCCTTTTTCTTTTAAACTTGTTGTGTGCTTTATAATGCATCTTTTTCTTCTCTTCAATAATCTCTTTATATTTACACTTATTGTATTTTGTGAACTCTACAACCATTTTCAACGATCGTTTTTTTGTGCTCCTTTGTAAAAAGCGGAAAATAGAAATTAATTCGAGAATTGACAACCTTATCAATATGGAAGTGTTTCGGAAACGTTTTCATGTCATTCTTCTTGTAGAAGTGTTTGAGGTTTAATGCGGATTCTCATTTATAATCCTTCAAAATCATGCCTAATATCTGGCGTTATTTAGATGCTCTTACGTTAAATCAATTTTCTATATATACATCTTTCATTTTTTGCGTTGTTTACGCACTTTCAATTGATATTTGACTCATATAGTGGTACAATGCGTAATAATTTATCAAAATCTTATCAGAAAATCTTTCGATAAGCAAGCGTATCTTCCTCTACCATACAAGTTCATCGTAGATTTCAACAGTGTCTGTTTGGTCTGTTGATGAGACGAGTGCTCTACCGTTTAAATCGTAATCTTTGTTTTAAAATGTCGATACTCGTAGCTGGAAAACTGGCACTTGTTACCGGTTCGTGGATCTTTTTTTATTTAATTTAGTTTAATCGGATTTTTATTTTGGTTCTGGAGAGATAAATAGCAAAATTTATCCGAGTAAACATTACTCAGCAAAAATGCGTTAAATTAGAATACTAAAATGCAAAGTAGCGCGTAATCTTATTTGCACTTTAACAATTCTATTGCAGGTGCTGGAAGTGGCATCGGAAGAGATTATATATATATATATACATATATATATAAAATATATTTTTGAAACTGATACAGAGTTCATTTTCATATGCTTAACATTGAAATTTTATAGTTTATTGAGATTATATTTATTTCTCTCAATAACTAATTCCATATTATGATCATTAATTTGCTATATAAAAAATGTTGTGATCATTAATTTGCTATATAGAAAATGTTGTAAACATCTGAAAATAAACTCAGTATCATGTATATTTTTTTTGCAGGTACCGAACATATTGCATATTAATGTTGAGGATCGAAACAGTGTCGAAGCTGTATTTAAAGATGTTGTGAAGCAATTTTCAAAGCCTCCTACTATCATTGTTAATTCTGCAGGCATCCTGTGAAAAATGTTTTTGATGAAACTCGATGACAGTAATTTTGATGATATCATTAATGTCAATTTAAAAGGTACCTTTTTAGTAACACAAATTGCTGTTAAAACGTTAATAGAGGGAAATGCAACCACAAATTCCTCAATTATCAATATAAGTTCGATTGCTGCTAGTGGTAGATACGTTGGACATAGTACTTATAGTGCGTCAAAAGCTGGAGTGATAGCTATGATAAAGAGCGCTTCATTGGAGTTTGGACAGTATGTATTAGATATAGGATATCTTGATTATTTTATTTAGAAAGTTATATATATATATATATATATATATATATATATAAGGTAAAATAACAAAAAAATAAGCGTTTCTACTACAGATCAATGAAATACTGATTCTTAGTGATCTTATTCATATACATATTTTTAAATAGAAATTAATATAGTTTTTGTAATAATTTTATATATATACACTAGTAGAAATGTTTATTTTTGTTACTTTATCTTATATCTCATTAATTATAGTCAGTGGAAATAAAATTTCACTGTAAAGTGAGTAATCACTAGTTCATTTATTTATCGCTACGATGTGCTTTTTTTCTCGTACTTAAGTTTTAGTCAGAGAATTATATGTATAAAGCTTGCAAAGGCCAACAGATAAAATTAAAAGTATCACTTCGTTTTAATTTCTGATATAATCTCAATAGAAGAACTTTAGATATTAAATCGATTTTATAAGTCGGATAAGTAAATGTTCGGCGAATAAACGAAAATGATCTGTTCATTATATATTAAAGATGTAAAATAAATCATCATCTATTTAACATTCATGTTCTAATATGCATGTAAATATAAATAAAATTTTTAATTTTATACGAAGTAGATAAATTAATATTACTGATTAAAACAGGCAATATTATTAATTCTTTCAGTGAAATATTATTGATTCACAGCTCTATAATAACTTATAACTTCTGTATCAGTGACTCTGTTTACTGTTTTCAGTTATAATATAATGATTCATTTTTAGAGAGTATGTATGAATGCACTGTTTTATTAATTCCATAAAAAAACAAACGTTTGAATAAAAGAAAAAAATAAAAGAAAAAATATATGAACATATTTTAACGGTTTTTAAACGTTTTTTTTATCAGAAAAAAAACTTATCTCTTAATGTTCTTTAAATGGACATTTTAACTATCAAAAATGTTATCAAGAGTCGATTATGAAACATTTTAAAAATTTGTGAAACGTTTTTGAAACGAATATGTGCTACCTGAGGACCATAGTCTGTTTTAAACCATAGTCTGTTTTAAACCATAGTCTGTTTCAAAATGTCGATACTCAGAGCTGGAAAGCTGGCACTTGTTACCGGTTCGTGGATACTTTTTTAATTAATTTAATTTAATCAGATTTTTATTCCGTAGAAATAAATAGCAAAATTTGTTCAGAGGAATCGTTATTTAGCAAAAATGTGTTAGATTATTAAAATGTCTAAGTAACGCGTAATCTTATTAGTTGTTCCTCGATTCTGTGGTAGGTGCTGGAAGCGGCATCGGAAGAGAAGTATGTCGAGTTTTAGCTCGTGAAGGCGCAAACGTTGTCGCAGCCGATCAGAATATCACAACTGCTCAGGAAACTGTTGCCTTTTTAGAAGGTTTATATATATACATGTATATATATATATATATATATATATATATATATATATATATATTTTTTTTTTTTTTTTTTTTTTTGAAACTGATACAGAGTTCATTTTCATATGCTTAACATTGAAATGTTATAGTTTATTGAGATTATATTTATTTCTCTCATTAATTAATTCTATTTTATGATCATTAATATGCTATATAGCAAATGTATGCATCTGAAAATGAACTCTGTATCATGTATACTTTTGTTTGCAGGTACTGAACATATTGCATTGCATATTAATGTTGAGGATCGAAACAGTGTCAAAACTGCGTTTAAAGATGTCGTGAAGCAATATTTAAAGCCTCCTACTATCATTGTTAATTCGGCAGGCATCGTGCGAAAAATGTTTTTGATGAAACCCGATGACAGTAATTTTGATGATGTCATTAATGTCAATTTAAAAGGTACCTTTTTAGTGACGCAAATTGCTGTCAATATGTTGATGGAGGGAAATGCAAACACAAATTCCTCAATTATCAATATAAGTTCGATTGCTGCTAATGGTAGATACGTTGGATATAGTACTTATAACGCGTCAAAAGCTGGAGTGATAGCTATGACAAAGAGCGCTTCATTGGAGTTGGGACAGTATGTATTAGATATATATCTTGATTATTTTATTTAGAAAGTTTGCTAACATGTAACTGTATTATGTATTCTACAGATTTGGAATTCGGGTAAACGCAGTATTGCCTGGTTTTATAGACACTCCTATGATTTCACATATATCTGAGGAAGCTAGGGAAATGCATATAAACAATATACCATTACAAAGATTTGGAAAGCCAGAAGAAGTAGCAGAGGTTATCGTGTTTTTAGCTTCTGATAGAAGTTCTTACATAAATGGAGCCTCTATTGAAGTTACTGGAGGATTGATTTAGAATTGAATTAAGTTTTATTATTTGTGTATACATATATATTAGTACCATATAAATAGATTATTGATTAAGAATTATACATTTATATATATATGTAAAAAGGTGCAATTTCATTGACGCTAAAAAGTAGCATCAACCATTGGTTAAACAATGAAGGTGCAATTTCATTGACGCTAAAAAGTAGCGTCAACAATTGGTTGAACAAAGAAGCAACTACTTACTTCTTTGTTCAACCAATGGTTGACGCTACTTTTTAGCGTCAACCATTGGTTTAACAAAGAAGTAAGTAGTTGCTTCTTCATTCAACCAATGATTGACGCTACTTTTTAGCGTCAACCATTGGTTGAACAAAGAAGTAAGTAGTTGCTTCATTGTTTAAAGATGCGGCCTCATTGACGCTAAAAAGTAGCGTCAACCATTGGTTGAACAATGAAGCAACTATACTTACCTCTTTGTTCAACCAATGGTTGACGCTACTTTTTAGCGTCAATGAGGCCGCACCTTAACCAATGGTTGACGCTTTTTAGCGTCAATGAAATTGCACCTTAACATCTCTCAGGTCTTTTCTCTGGTCGCTAAATGGAAAGCACCCACGGTCGCGCATGCGCGCGCACGGAATTCCTCTAGACTCATGATCCTCTCTAGTATTCTTTATTCAATGAGTATTCTTTATTCAATGAGTATTCTTGAAAATTCTTCATTCTTGAATATAACCGCCACGGGAATCGCCGCACGTGGAGCGTCGCACGTAGAGCACAACTGATAACCTCATAAACCTAATCTTGTTCACATAAAAAGAAGCATTTGATCTAATGAAAGATTTATCTAATTAATATATAAATATAGTGTTAAAAATACTTTCGATAAAATAAAAAATCCGAGGTTTTCTAATCGAAATACACAATGGTGCAAAGTAGGATATTCGCGCGAAATCGAGCCCTTGGATATGTAAGTAATCACATACCTCTGGTGACGAGGTACATCCTCAGAAGGAAGGAACATCTCCTCGTCACTTGCGTGGGTCGAGAATTCCATACTTATGGATGTAAACATTTTACTCTATTGAGCGTGTCGGGCATGCACGCCGACGATATCACGTGCCTGGCTACGGACACGTTTCACGTGTACACGGCCAGCGCGAATAATATCTACGCGTGGCGAAGAGGAACGGAGTTAAAACACACGTATAAGGGTCACGATTGCGCGGTACATATTCTTCTACCGTTTGGCGCTCACCTGCTTTCTATCGATGAGAATAGCACGTTGAAAGTTTGGGACATCAAAGACGAGAGTTTAATATTGGAGTTGAACTTCAGCAATAACGTCTTCAAAATAACCACGTTGATACATCCTAATACTTATATAAATAAAATCTTGCTAGGTAGCGAACAGGGTCAGTTGCAGCTATGGAACATCAGATCTATGAAAATGATCTACACGTTTAAAGGATGGCAGAGCAGCGTGACAGCGTTGGAGCAAGCGCCTGCGATAGACGTGGTCGCGATAGGTTTGAATGACGGTCGAATTATTCTGCATAATCTCAAGTACGATGAGACCCTCTTTGAACTGGTGCAAGACTGGGGCCCGGTTATATCCATCAACTTCCGTACGGATGGCCATCCAATCATGGCAACTGGCAGTTTAGGCGGTCAAATAGTATTTTGGAACTTGGAGCAACGTACGGTGGAGAGTCAATTGTGCCATGCCCATAATGCTGCTGTTACAGGTCTGAGGTACATACCGAACGAACCACTATTGGTTTCGTCCTCGCCTGACAATTCTCTAAAGCTGTGGATATTCGATATGGCCGATGGAGCGGGTAGACTCTTAAGAATAAGAGAGGGTCACGCTGAACCTCCGACTATCGTTCGATTTTACGGGAATGACGGCAATTATATATTGACCACAGGTGGTGATTCGTCTCTTCGACTGTTTTCCACTGTTACGGAGATAATGAACAAGAGTTTAGGTAGAGCGTCGTTTAATAGGAAAGCATCTAAGAAGAAAAGTCTCTCGGTCGATGATCCGTTATTAATGCCGCCGATAACCGAGCTCGCGTTTGAAGAAACGCGTGAGAAGGAATGGTGCAACATAGCCGCCACTCATTCCGGCTTGGGTGTAGTCACTACATGGTCGTCTCATCTGCAGAAGATGGGCGATCTTAAATTGCTTCCCGAGAGATTTAAAAATAATTACAATGCCAGCGCGACCAGCTTATGTTTAACGAGATGCGGAAACTTTGTTGTGATCGGTTACAACACGGGTCACATTGATAGATTTAATATTCAATCTGGAATCCATAGAGCATCCTATGGGGACGAGAACGGTGCTCACGAGGGACCTGTTAAAGGCGTCATGGTTGACGATTTGAATCAAACTCTCATCAGTGCTGGCAGAGACGCGAAAATCAAATTTTGGGATTTTAAACCTGGGAAAGGTATCTATATTATTTAAAAAAATTATATTTTTTCTTTAAATATATTCTAGTAATATTTTTATTATCACAGGTATGACAACGGCAAGGACGATATTAACGTTAGAAGAATCGATCGAATGGATACGATATCACAATGAGAATTCCCTCGTAGCTGTAGCTTTAGAAAATTTTGATATTGTATTAATGGATCTGGATACAAGAAAAATAGTTCGACATTTTCGAGGACACGAGGGACGAGTAACGGATGCGTGTTTCAATCCTGATTCCAGGTGGTTAATCACAGCATCCATGGATTGCACAATACGCACTTGGGATATACCATCTTCACATTTAATAGATATCTTTCAGGTTTGATCTCTTAATATTATATTATGAGAATTATCAAGAAAGATCTTAATCATATATATATTTTAGTAGATAAAAATATAATACAAACAACGGAAATCCTTAAAGAATTCAAAAGATCTAAAACATAAAAATTTTTTAAATATCTATATATACATGATTGATTTTAAAGTTTTATTTTGAATTCTTGTAATATTCTTTACGAAAGTTACTTTCGTATCATCTGATTTTTTTTATATTAAATTAACAAATAGTGCATCTCAAAAATATGTAAATTATAAACATTTTTTTATTATAAGCATTTTTTAATTATAAGCATTTTTTTATAGGTTCCTGAAGCTTGTATATCTCTAAATTTCTCTCCGACAGCCGAATTTCTTGCGACCGCACATGTACGTAACATGGGGATCTTCTTGTGGTCGAATCGTATGCTTTATTCGCATGTATCGTTGAAGGCCATCAGTAAAGACGATATGATACCCGAAGTGTTACTTCCCGGCTCTTCTGTCGAAATCGAGGAGCAAGTTGATGAAAACGATGTCGTCGCCACGGAGCCAGATTATACATCTCCTGATCAGCTCGATAATGATCTCATAACTATGTCTGCCGTGGCTCAGTCGAGATGGCGAAATATACTTGACATCGATATTATTAAAAAGCGAAACAAGCCGCAACAGCCGCCAAAAGCTCCTGAGACGGCGCCATTCTTCTTGCCTACGATTCCGTCATTGCAATTACGTTTTGATTTCTCGGACGTTAAAATTGCCGACAAGACCGAAACTTCACATTCCGCTTTACAAAATCTGACATCATTTAATAAAAGTTTACAATCGACCAGTACGAGTGACAATTTTTCAGAAGTGATAGAAAAATTGAAAGCGATGAATCCTGGCGACATCGATTTCGAGATTCAGTCATTATCTCTAGACGAGAGCTCCGCGGAATTGTTGATATTGCAATTCATGAAAATGCTTTATTACATGATGAAACAACAGACAAACTTCGAATTGTCGCAAGCTTACTTGGCAGTATTCTTAAAGTGGCATGGTACCGCGATATCAGAAAACGAGACGCTACAAGATCATCTTCGGAAGATCCAAGAGGCGCAAAAGAAAAATTGGCTTATATTACGGGAGAAATTATTTTATAATTTAAGTGTTGTACAAAAATTAAAAAAAATATAATATAATATAATATATATATATATATATATATATATATATATATATATATATATGAATATTATCCATATATTATGTAAATATCGTGTAAATATTTTTAATAACTAGGAATAAACATAATAAGTCGAAATGTTTCATTATACTCACATACATTAGTAATTTTAATAAATTAGTAATTTTTATGTTTTTATGTAACATACAACTTTTAAATTTAAAATTTACAAATGAAATGTGATATAAAAGTTCTTTTTTAGAAAAAAATATCGATTTATTATGGACATACTTATATTACAGATTAATATTGAAAAAATATCCATACAACAAACAACAGATTTTTGTGCTGTTCCTGTGCATATTTGTATCTCTATACATAGAACTCAATATTTCCCTAGTAAAATATATTTTAATGCAAATATTTCTTTTTTTAATATTTTATCATTCTCTGAATATAAAAAATATAAAAAAGAATTTATATTGAAGCTGCAGTAACAATAATTAAATGAAAAAAAAAATTGTTCTTTCAATTATGCAGTATTTTATAGAAAGATAAGTTTATATAAAAACATGTTCACACTGTTGATATTAATATTTATAAATTATTCCTTATAATTAAGAAAGCTTTGCAATTGTTCAATTGTCAGTGATTCAAGGGATAAATCATTGACATACGGTTCAAAGTTTGTAATAATTCTATATAGACTACGTTTGATCGCACTTCGTAAAGAGGTACAAATTTCTTTAGTTAATTTATCATCAGTTTGAATTTTTCTTGCTAATACAGCTGATTTTTGCAATTTGTCCAGAACCTGCTTCACTGACAACAAAGTATTGATAATGTTGGGCACATCTTTTTGTACAACACCATAAGAATCTTCACTGAGCGAAAACACCGATAATGATGAAATAGCTTCAGCTGCCCAAATCACTAGTTGTCCATTAAGTAATACATAACGGATTTTATTATCGTCTTGTTCACCAAAGATATAATTAATAAGTGGTTTGGAAAGCAAATATGCTACAAAGGCTTCTCGTTTTTGTTTAATAAACTTTTGAATAAACATGCCACTATAAGGAGCTTCTTTTGTATCTACTTCTATTGATGGCACTGGTGTTACATCTGGTACTAACTTCCGCATATGATATATATGCTCTTTTTGTGCAGGTCGTACAGGTGCAATTCTTGTTGTCAATACATTTGTACTATAACAGAATTGTTGCTCTTGAGGTTTCATGGATATAGCGTTGAAATCAGAAGAGAATTTCTTAAGAAGATCAATGCACTTTTGCACAATGCAATTCCAATTGTATGGATGACCACCTGGTTGACTGAGTGTAAATAATATTCCTCTTCTCATTTTCTCCTTTTGGGCTAAGGTAACTAAATCTAAATAACCCAAGTGTTGTATTATCGGTATCTTGTCCATTGCTAGCGCCTCAATAAGTGTTAATTCTGAAGCATCACCATTATAGACACCACTCGAACTAAATTTAAATGAAATCCATTCAGTTAGATATATTTCAAATAACAAGTAAGTGCTGCTTATTGTCAGTATGAATATGAATTGATGAAGCCACAAGTGCAATATTAATGTCAGATTTAGCAATCTAGACATATTGTCCAAAGGTTCAACTTCTGTTTGTATAGAAATCATTGACAATAGTGCTGCACGACAGTATGATCCCAGAAAGTAATAAATAGTCATATAATACACAGCCGACCACATGGAGGAAATCATTAGATTTGGAAGCATAGCATAAATTCCTTGTCGCAGCCGGAAAAATTTAAACTGTGTTATAATGGGAAATCGGAAATACTTCATAGAGTCATTAGTCTTTACGGAGAAATATAATCCACTCCATAAACCACTGAACAGCAAAAAATAATATTCCTCCACCAAACATGTTCCATATATGATACTACAATCTGCAGTCAAAGAACTGTACATTCCTCCTTTTAATGACAAATGCGACCAGGTTAAAATGCCACCCATGACGATATACGAGGCTTTTAAACTTAAGTTTTGAACTGTAAGAGTCGCACATAATTTGGCAAATCTGCTCTTATAATATGGTGGATTGTGGAGATAAATTTTGCTGCAGAAAACACCCTGTAAAGAGATCACTGCGGCGAGAATGCCGAGATAAATCCACATTCGTAGTGATATTACAGTTCTCCACGTGTTTTGAAGCCAATGTACGTAATCAGTGCTCAGGTTTGTAAATAGGATGAGGCAGCAGACTAGAAAAAATTGCAATGTTATGCTTGAGACGACAGCCAGCAACATTCGCCGCGTCAAAAGTTTTTTGCAATCCTTTTTGTCAATTTCGATCATCTTCGAGGACCGGTTAACCTTCACGAGAACAAATCTCCTCAGTAAATCTTGATTCCACGTTTCCTACAGTGCTCCGCGTAGATGAAACTTCTTCGTGTGGTATAACGTTATATATCACAACTTCCTCGCTTCCTTTTGCCGACTATTAGATTAGACAACATTTTTCGTATAGAAATTCAAAATGCCATAATCACAGTATCTTGAATAGCGCAACTTTCTGTCGACAATATCGACACCTTTGATGTCTGTAAGGCCGGATCTACAATAGGCAATTTAAGCTTTAAGCCTTAGGAGATTGACCAATCACAGTCAAGTATGAAGAGAATACTCGACTGTAATTGGTCAATTTCTTAAGGCTTAGGGCTTAAATTACCTATTGTAGATCGGGACTAAAGTCTCTAAAATGGAGTGAGTAACATTACTAGATTTCCCGATGTAATTCGACGCTGATTGGCCGAATCTGAAAGTGGAAACCAATCATGTTCGATTATTACTTAGCGGTTGAATTCGCTGAATGCAGCCATTCGATGACATTGGCCGCATTCAGCGGACTCAACAATTGGGCAACATTACTAGATTTTCCGATGTAACTCGATGCTGATTGGTCGGACCTGAAAGTAGAGACCAATCATATTCGATTGCTTCTTAACGGTTGAGTCCGCTGAATGCGGCCATTCACGCTTGTGCAATGAAAATCTTATAGAGATTCGCAACACTTGTTCTAGCACCTCTATCTGAATTTTAAATCAAGTTTGACATAGGACACTGATAACCTCAATTTGATAATCTTATTTATTTTTCAATTTAGTAATCTTACATTTTCATTAATAATAACTTCTACTAACTAACTAGAATTCTAATAGTTCAGATAGAATGAGATGAAATATATCACTGGCAATTTTGAAAATTGAGATAGAAGATAAAAACACTGGAAAAAAAGAATACTTATCTGCAGGTAAAAAAATCTTTTTACTTCTTAAATTTGACAATTATTAAGTTTAACAATAATTTTTTTTTTTCAGAAATTAGAATTCTTTAGCTAGTAAATACACGTTTGGAATAAAATAATTTCGTCATAATCCAATAGAGAAGGAGAAGGATATGACGGAAGAGAACGCGATGATGTCTAAATCAAAAGACGAAGACACAGAGGGCAGAGATATGGATATGAAATGTTATTTCAACAACGCAATGCCTGCGATCTTTGATGAAGTCGTCTTGCCTACAAGATCCGACTTCTTCGATGTACAATCAATTCCTGTAGGTCTAGTTTCAGACTACGGTCCTTTTTCTGATGTCGCATCAACGAGCTCATTCGATACAGATACTCTGCGAACTTCTACGCCTTTGCTGCTGGACGCGACGATTGATCGAGTAGAGCACAACGCGTTGAGCGACGCACATCGAGATGCCTGGATACCATCGGATCATACGCGAAAGATACTACGCTCTATCGCGACCTCCACAGCTGGCGCCAATCACCTGGATCGTGAGAATCTCACTATGCCTGGACTGGCCGTACAGGGCGATATGCCAGATTTGATCAAGAATGCATCTATCCACTTTTTGGGCGAGGATGAGAACATCCATCGAAATGTGCTCACAGCATCTGATGTGACACAAGATGAACGCGGTTTGAGGAATCTGATACAAGCCGGTTGCTACCGAGCGGCGGTCAATCTGTCTGGCCGACTATTAGCTATCTATGCCCAAGGCTATGGCAAGATTAATCAACCTAGCAAACATACCCCTCATTCTTTACAGCTCTGGTATACGAGACTCTCGCTGTTGGTCAAATTGAGGCAGATGGATGTATTAGAAAACGAATCGAAGCCGTTCGGTAATCTCGATAAACCCGACATGTATTTCACCTTCTATCCAGAATTGTACGGCACCAGACCAGGATCTATGGCATCGTTTGCTTTCAGATTATTGTTGGCAGAGATTCCCTCGTATTACGATAAAGCGAAACAAGCGTTAGATAATTTGTATAAACTTTTAGCGACCGTCCATCAGATTATAGCCAATTTCCATGCCGGTCTTAGCGGTGAAGGAACACACGTGAAGATCAGTGAATCTGATCAGCGCGAGGCCGTAAAACTGTGGACAGCCAGAAAATCCAGGATCCTTATTTCCATTGTTAATTGTGCCATTGGTATGAGAAATTATATTCTTGCGATAGAGATACTGGAAGATCTATGTAAGCTACCTGATTGGACTACAGAGCAGCTAGGTATTTTGAAATCGGCCATAGGAAGGGTGCATTTGTTCCTCGGCGACGTCTCGGCGGCGGAAAAGTTTCTCGTTCGCAGTAATAAGGAAGAGAAGACAACGAGTGTCCGAGAATTGGTGGACAGCGGATTAATGGCAGTTGCACAAAATGCCTTTCAAGAAGCCTACAACTACTTTCAATCGGCATCGACGATGGATCCGTCCAATGTAATGTTGACTAATAACATGGCAGTGTGTTTGTTGTATACTGGCCAATTGAAAGCAGCTGTGTGGTTGTTTGAGAGCGTCGTCAATAGAAATCCTTTGAGAAGTCTGCAAGAGCCCATTTTATTGAACATGTGTACATCGTACGAGTTACATACGACGCATTGCAAGCAACCGAAATTGCATCTATTGCGGCAGCTAAATAGATACAAGGGTGACGCAGCCGATATTCAGTGTCTAAAATTAGCTATGTAACATTAGTCATGAATATTGTCACTGTTAATGTTAATGTTACATCTTGAGACCTGAGCTCGTTATTCTCTTGGAGAGAGAAAATAAATTATAAATTTGGTTATCTAGTTAATTAAAATGTGTATTAAAATATGTACAAATATAATAGGATTGTAAGCTTTAGTACAACAGTAATTTTCTTTATAAGAAAATTGAGAAAATTATTTTAAATTGAATTTTCTTGCCTTCGATTTTAATAACTGACTTTGTTAAATATTTAATTCTCTTATATCTTTAAGATTAATTTTCGTAGATTTGAAATAAAGTCCATTGTTGTTTGATGATTAAAAGAAAAGAGAGTTATACATTTTTTAATACTAAATACAATTGTGAATTCATGCTGTATGTGTGGTATTTGGGCTCAGATGGACAAAATGTTAAATCTCAGGAAAAATGTAAATATTGTGATATTAATAATAGTAAAATATATCTAATGTTTAGTTATACTTCTAGATTTTTCAGAGCTTTTAGTCTCACATCACATTGCTGAGATATAACATGCCGTACTTATTCATGTTATCCACATATCCTATCCGTATTTTATATTATATTCAGGTGATTATTTAAGAATCGTGCATGCAAAATCATATTCCAGGATTATTGATCGCATAGAAAACAATAGCCGGACATCAAAGTAAAATAGCCTTTATTACATCGTGAAACGAGGACAATTTAACGAATGTTCAACAATTGCTATAGTTTTCTCTTTTCACACTCTCTTCTTCGCTCTACTTTTTCTTACGCGTGTAAACATATATTCACGCACGTCTTTTCTTTTCTTTCGCTTCTCGGTTTATCCCCCGCGTTTTTATTATTACTTTTTTTTTTAATCGAAAGAATACGAGTATCGCAGCACGTTTTCCGAAAATATATATTATGTAATGAAACCAATATGTTTTGCTATTTTTCTTGCGTTTATAACATGCGTTTTCTTTATCTGCACATCGGTTTCTGCATTCAGTTTCTCGCATTGTTTCCTCGTTTTTTTCTTTTTTTCTTTTTCTATCTTATTTTTCTTATTTTTAATTTTTAAAACTGGCTTTTTAAACTGGCTAATTTACTCTTTCGCTCTCTTTCTCTCTCTCTCTCTCTCTCACACTCTTTCTTATTATCGCGCGATTACATCGTAGCACATATTATTAGATTATTGGATTCCCAAACTGCACTCTCTCTCGCTCTCGCTCCCTGCAGAAAAAAGGCACGAACTGGCGGAAAAGTCGGCCTAACTGTATAATATTTTCATTTATTTATTATGGATGGAACTTCGTGTCTCACATACATTATTTTTCTTTATTTCCTCTCTTTCCCCACCGTCGTCCCATGGGCCTCACGGCGATTTTAGCCCGTTGAATCGTTAGTACCGCGAAAATTAACGACATAGTGAGCGCAGCGCAAGAATCTCCCGATATATAGATTATAATTTGTGATATATCAATTAATTTATATTAATTTGTATATGCTATTATATGCGTCCGTCTCGAATGCCCATAGTAATCAAATTCGGTAGGATCGTTCTTCATTAGACTATTTTGAATGTTAATTTTAATTTTTTTACAAAGGACAATATTTATTTCAACCAGAACAAAAAATAAAACATTTGTAGCATTTTAAACATTAAAAAAATTGTGTATTATTCTATATAAAATTAGTATCGAGAATCTCTTATAACAGTTACAATATTATCGTATACAAAAATATCAGAATCAAAGCCGTAACTAAAATTTAGCAAAAGTGAATTGTTACTCTTATCAAGAATATATATTCAACATAAATATATTTTCGAGACAGATATTTTTAATGTGTATAATATTTAATTATTTTGAATGTTCTATAAAAGAGATTACAACTTTAATTTATAAAAGATAACATATAAAAGATATGTATATAAAAGAAATTTTTATATACTTTTATAAAGTATATAAAAGAAATTTTTATATACGAACCCACTTGTGTTTCACTTTTGGAATTCAAAAAATACTTTGTTACGTATTCTTTTAAATATTATTTTTATAAAATATAAAGAACAGAATTATATTAATTCGACTTGCAGTAGCAAAAATAAAGCTGAATAAAGTTTTAAAATAATTTTTTAGAATAATTTGCTATTGATAATTATTTTTGTGTTATGTATAATTAATTTCTCGAAAAAATATCTGGTATAAATAAAATTAAATTACCACTTTGTGTGCAAATTTTAGTTACGTATTTCGATTATAATTATTTCATTTCATTTATATGTGAAAGTATGTAAAGCTTTAAAAAATTGTTAATTTAGCGGTAGCATATTTTAAAAGTAACGAAATTTATATCTTGGAAATATTACGATAATTTCTACAGAATTAGTTGCGTGACAAGTTTTAAAACCTGTTTGTTTTTTATCATTAAATTACAAATTAATTATAAAATTACATCGTTCGGAGCTTGCGCAACAGGCACTACATCGCCTCAAAAAGAGCCTTTCAAATTATCTCTTTCTCTCTTTTTTCTCTCGTTCGAGTACGTTCACACTTTGTCATATTACATTAATATCCACATCGCTATTCCTGGCAATTAAATGTAATTTTGTGTATATATATCTAATATATAATATATACACAATTGTGTATATAATATATATATATACATATGACACTTTATAGTAAATTTATCTTCTTTTATATGTCTACAATATTTATATATATTTATGTATACTAGTGTAATATGTGCTTACGCCGTCTAATCTCTAAAAAAGAAACAGTACATTATTGTCTGCAGTATTTTTGTTTTCGAGTATTTATATATATAATATATACAATTCATTTTTGGTATTTATATATAATATATAAGTCAATGAAAAGCTCAATGGCATGACCATATAGTATTCATTGAGTACAATAAATCTGAAAATTCTCGTACGCTTCACGAAACTCCTATATGCATAATCGATCCGTAATTTATTTCGCAGACTGTAGAAAAGAAAAAAAAAGGGGAGAAGTGTAATAAAATAGGATCTTTGCTACTTGTCTTCTTAATTGCTATTTGTGAGGAAAATTCGTAATAATTTATTCTTTACGTCCTTTACCAATCTCTGGCGAACGAAAATAAAAGCGAAGATAGTGCAATTAAGGAATATCGTGAAGGTAATTCTGTTTTCGACGACGATGTCGCACTAACATTTATGTAATTTTTCGTTTATCTTGGCAACACTAGGCAAGCTCGGTCGTTCACGGAAGGCATCGTATGGTGCTTATTAAATCGTTGCTTCAACAATCATAACAATTTTCATCGCTCTTATCTTTTCCCTTTTCCGCTTATTATCTTTCTAGTTATTATCTTCGCTGTTGCTTTTCTTTTTGTTTTATCTCGTTATTGTTCGTTCGGGAGATAATGTCGATGCACAAAAGCTGGCGCGACTTACATAAGTTTTTTTTTTCGTTATTCAGTAGTACGTACATATATTGAGGCAAGCGGGTCGCAAAAGCTCCCGAATCAGAGGAGAGAAATGTAATATAATATAATATATTTTATATATATAATATCTATATACGTATATATATAATATTGTCTTCGTAAGTTTCCTGCCTTTCCCTCTTGATGTCTTAACCCATTGTTGGTCGTGAAATCACTTAAAAAGTTACTCGAAGAGCGAAGATAGAGGATTGTGACAACAATATAATTTTATTGAGTTCGAAATCGAGTTTATGTAACTAAAGTTATCAAAATTATATATCATCTTCAATTCTTAATATAAATATAAAGTAGAACGGACTCGAACGATTCAATTACGTACTAAACTCAAAAGAAACGAGACACAGAAGTTACAACAGACTAAAAGGAAGAGTTTAAACATTATTATAAAATAAAAAAAATATAAAAACATTGAGGAACGAAATGTCATTTAAAATATCCATTGAATTTTTTAACGAATAGATACAATTAGGAACTTGTAACTAGCTTGTCGCTTGTAACTAAATAAAATGCAATTAATAATCGTTGCTGACTATAAAGGGGAACGAGCGAGAATAGTTTTTTTTTCGCGCCGATAAAGAGAAATTACAATAATTCTATGTGTCGGATGTAAGGAAGAGATCCGTTGCAGTCGAATTAGTCGCTGCTCGATCAATTAGTGTACTATCTCGTATCCGTATAATATTACATTATAATTATATAAAAATATATTTCTTATATAATCATATATTAACACTATAATAAATGAGTATTATAAGCATTATATCTGCCCATTTTTCATCTTTCTTTTTTTTTCTTTCGTAGAATGGTAGTGGTACACGATGCCTGTCGCGGATAACCGAAGCTTCTATACACACGAAACGTCAAGGACGTACCGGTTTGCCGTATGCCGCACACAACTGGCACAAAATTTTAATAATACGGTAATATCTGTATCTCATATTTTTTCTCATCTTCTTTATCAATAACAATATCACTTATCACTTGTAGTACTCGTGTAAATAAAAAGACGCATAAACTGTTATAAAATACATTCTCGAGTATTATCAATCTGTAGAGTATATATATATGTATATATATATAATATACGTTCTTATCTATACGCGTCCGAACGAATAAAATCATATAAACGTCATAATATAATTTTAATAGTAAATGTTGGAAGCATTTAATATCATATTTAGGTGTTATTGTTATTCGGGCCTCGGATTTCGGTGAAAAGATTATTGCGAGGTTTTGATGCGCGTTATCCTTCATCGCATCTTTTCGACAAATCTTTGGATTTTCAATACAAAGACTTCTTATACAATAGCATTGAAATACAAGACATCTTTGTATTGTCAATACAAAAGACACAAAGACAATCTAATGCTTTGGATACTCTTTTTTTAGAATTTCTTTTATAAACATCTTTTTCGAATTTCTGTATTATTCAGGTCCATCGAAATTATCGATCTACTTGCCAGATGAAACACATATGTCGCACGCTTCGGGAAGTTGTTTGTGCTATATTGCAGAAACAAAATCGGGATTTCGATGAAAGGTGCCACGCGGTGCTATTCGTTGCAAGAGGAAAAAGTGATAAATAAAACGAAGAGGCCCTGAGAAAATGGATCCTCGCGGAATGTGTAGCGCATTTTACTATGTACTACGTATTTGCATCGTCTCAAATAATCACGTTGTATTATAGGAATAATACATTATCGACTTGCCACCTTGTAAGTACAATAGAATTAAAAAGAATATATCTCGCATGACATCAATCACCGACCCGCATGGCCCTTAAATTTCACGTTTTCTCTCTCTCTCTCTCTCCTTATTTCATTCTTTCTTTCTACATATACAATAATGTATAATAATAATAGTAATATAATAATAATATAGCCTTTTCTCATCAAGTGAAGTTATTCATTGTAGAGAGGCGGAACATGAGATTCTAATCTTCGTCTTTACGCCCGACGAAGTCTTTTAATGTTAAGCTCAATTAAGCTGTCAGATATATTTGATTCGGTAAACTCAATATCTCTTTCTTTACCTGTGTAGAACGAGCATTCGTTTTACATTATGCGCGATTTCCATTCTCATAAATTCGAATTATCTTTGGAATTTAACTTTTAGAAATTACATGTCGAAATACGCACATGGCATTAGTTTGCAAAAATTGCTTCAAAGATGAACATTCTTTTTTATCTTTCATTTAACGTCGAACCTAGTTTACATATTAACATTAATTTTACGAATGGATATCGCGCTCTACATACGCTCTTCGGACGTGGCTAACAAATTTGTACATTAATTAGTTTTTTATTATTGTCATGATATATATAATATTTTGTTAATAAAAATACTAAAATATTATGTATATTATATAATATATATATAATAGATTATTGCATTATGCTTTTTTGGTACCGTTACATGCGTTTGGTTTATTTGTCAACGCCACTTATCGCGAATAGTTTCTTTTCGTTTCTATTTTTTTCACCGGTATCGTTTCTTAATTTTAAATCTAAAACCGGTTAACACACATGCATACACAGGCGATACAAGAAAGACATTATGAATGTCTTTCATATTCTCAATCACAAATTCTAATCTTTATTTTCGATTTCTCGCTTAAACCATTTTTCAGGTTTTTCTTTTTTTCGAAGTACGAACCGATCATCAATAAAATGCCATGGTTTTGTAATGTGATGTCGCGCGCAGCATCTTATATATATATATCTATATATTTATATTATAGCTTCGTATGAAACGTCGCGCGGCTCCCTTTAAAGTTCATGCGAGAGGAAAGTATGAAGGCGTTCTAGCGGTTTCTCATAAGACATAAAAATCTCGGAGGAAAAATTCGCATAGAGAAGAAGGGATTCTAAACGTAAGACAAAAAAAGAACTGCATATATTAATCTAGATAAGCGAGCGAACTTTAGATGAGCAGGTGGAGCATTTCTATTCTCTGTAGGGCTTGCAATAAGAGTAACGATGATTCATGTGCTGGCTATAGGAGCCGGAGTGAGAAAAGCGCTTGAGGCACTTGGAGCACTGGAAAGGTTTTTCGCCGCTGTGTAGCCGCTTGTGTTCAGTCAGATGATGCTTGTGCTTGAACGCTCTTGGACACTCCACGCATTTGTACGGCCTTTGCCCTAACATTTGCCAATTTTGTTAATATTCATAACAAGGAGGGCCTCGCACATTTTATATGAAAAAAGTGGTTTCGATCAAATTGGCTGAAATTGAAATATATTAGTTTAGGTGGTGTTGATCAAGTTTCCTCAGACAAAAAGTCTGAAAATCAAAAGTATAAAAGATACGATGATTTAAAGTCCGAGGAAACTTTTGATTAGCATCACCTAAACTATAAAATATTTTAATTTCAGTCAATTTGACCAAAGCCTTTTTTATATAAAATGTGTGCAGAGTCCTTTAAAAACACAATAAACTCAAGAAAAATCAAGATTTCTTGCAATAAATTTGAATAAAAAAAGAATAGATAAAAAAATAAATGGAAATATATATATAATTTTATAATTCCATTTTAAGATAATATATATATAATTAATAGAATGTTATTTTTCAATATATCAAAATTCATTCTTAATACAACATTGAAGATTGTAAAAAGAAAAATCTGTTTTCGTTAAAGATAAATTATTTTTAAATTGAATAATGGCTCTCATTAAAATCACTAACAATAAAGATAATAGTATACCCACCGGAATGTTCATACTTGTGTCTCATAAGAGAACTATGTTTGGAGAATGTTTTGTCGCACCGATCACAGGAATAAAGACCCTGCTCGATTTCTGCTGCTACAGGGGTTGCTTCCAATTGAGGTGCAATTTCACTTTCACCTTTCGTATTTATTTGATTTTGATTCTAACAAATAATACACGAATTATATTATTTATATAAAATTTTGAGATTAATATTTTATTTTTTATTACCTTTGTAATTATCTCTCCATTTGTAGGTGTACGCTTTGGTTCAATAGAATCAGTAGCAGTCTCTTCGTCTATAACGAGAGGCGAATCCTCGAGATCGTCGTTGTCAATATTTGGAGCTGGATTATCATCCTTTTGCTCACAAGGAGACGAGGTATTTCTACTCGATATATCGTTTTCTTTGGTCGTTGATGCAACAAGTGCTTCTTTTTTAGACAGATCCAAAGGCTGCTCGATAACAGTTTGATTTCCCAGAGTTAAAGGTACCAAAGCCGGTGGCATTTTTGATTCTCTTCGATCCCGGGCTCGAGAATTTTGAAACCAAACCTACAAAATAAAAATACATATAATGTACAGTTTTTTTTAAAATTAAACTAACCAATTTTGAAGAGAAATAGAAGAAAATAAATATTTTTTGTTAGAGATATTTCTATCTGCGACGTTTCGTTTTTTATTATATTCAAACTCTCAATAGAATAAAGATTTTGTTCTTAATAAGTACGTGATGTATTTTTATATCATTATTGTATTTTATATATCATTATGGAGTGATATACTTGGATAAAATTAAGTGATATGCATCTTATAAAGCAGTTAATTGTAATGGATAAACAGCACAGAGACACTCAATGTTTCGATAATGTTATCTTTGTATTGAAGTTAATAGAGGAATATCTGAGCATTTACTATAAAAAGAATGAATCACTTTTGTGTGATTTGTTCCATTTTTTGTTCAACATTACAATATAATTTAATTTTTCCATGTCTTCCATTTACATGCTTGTTAAAGTCATGAAATTTTATATCAAGTAATATCTAAACAAAAGAGAAAAAAGTATTAAAAAATGTTTGATTTATCTCTCTACTTCAGTCATCTACTTTACTCTATATTTGTTAATCTAATTTTTTAATATATATATATATATATATATATATATATATAATTAATTTTAATTTATATCTTATATTTATATTTAATATATATCTTATATATATATTATTTTTATATATATTATTTATATATATATATATATATATATATATAATATATTATATATAATATATTATATTATTTTTTAATATTTTATATATATATATATATATCTTTTATATATAAATGTAGTTTACCAATTGCTCTGATCAACTGTTATAGATTTATTAAATATTAACTATTAATATTATATAAAAAATATCAGAATAAGTTTTAATTTAATATAATTAATCAACATTTTTAATCTACACACCTGCACCACACGAGTGGGGAAATTTATACAGTTAGCGATCATGATGATCTCCTCCTTTTTAGGTCGCGGATTGATAGAGTAGTAACCTTTCAAAATGGCCAATTGTTCATCATCTATGAGCGACCTAGCTCTAACCCTTCTACCGTTGTCGTTGTGAGTGTGGTTGCTCTCATCTTCGTCCTCCGAATCTACCTCAGAACTGTCCTCCATCTTTCTCTTATTGACTGATCTCGATGTCGGATGATTGATATTTTCTAATTTCGCAGCTAAACCCTCGCTCTGCGAGTCGTATTGGTCCGATGCGGTCCAATCTGGATAATGCGTCATCTCACTGGACATTTCACTATCTTGATCCTGTACATACATGTAGAGATGTAAGATTTTAATATTCAAATCAATTTCATTCCAAAAGCAAAAATTTATGAAACATAGATATTAAAGTTCTATAGATTCATAAATTAATTTATATAATTGTGCAACTTTTTTTTACCAAGTTTATTAAGAATTGATTCTGCTTCTTACAGTTTTCATTGTTTAACTTTTAGAATTATAAATTATTATTATTTTAATATTTATTAAATTTATTGCAAATATGTAGATAGATTGTAAATAAGAAATATTTTTGTTGAATTTCATTACCTGATAATCTTCCTCAAGTTCTCGCTTCATTGCTGGAGACGTGGAGAGTTTCCGCACATTCGCTTCAAGTAGCTGTTTCGTCACGGAAGTATTTACAGTCTCTAGAATTCGCCGAACAGCATCGAGACTCTGCATTGGATCCGCTGGCGCGGGAGACTCTTTACCCTCAGTGCCCTCGGTTCCCTCGGAGTCCGCTGTTGATGGACTCATCACTTCCCGATGCGTCTCAAACTGTTCAGCGATTTCATCGAGCCGCTTAGAGTGCAATTGATTCAGTAACTTTCCTATCGAAGACTGCAGGATATAATTTCCGTATCCCATCATCTGAGGCAGCAAGGTTGGTACATCATAAATACCTAAATATTAAACAAATCAAACTTAGGAAACTAGAGAATAAGACATGTTTTATTAAACTTTTGTTTATAAATTTCTCGACAAATATTTGTCTAGAAAAAATATCAAGAAACATTTATTTATTATAATTATTCGATTTTCAATTCATTTTGAAATATTCAAAATTAGAGTAGATAAAATTTATAATTTATAACGCACGGTTTTTAAATATAATCTTAAGTATCTAAAATGAAATTTGTATCACACATTTGCTTAATTCTGAACTCTTTAAATATTTTTATAACCAAAATTTACTCTAAAATTTTATGTAAAGTCCACTAAAAGTCCACTAAAAGTCAATTAAAAAATTGCACTTTATTATATATTCTTAGTAGAACAGAAAGAGTTCTTTAATTTTTTATTTGATAAATAAAATTAATGTCTCCATACTTTTTCTTAAATCTTCCAAATTGCCTACTAAATTCACAAGAAATAAAAGATCAATGAAAAGTAACATATTCATGCACACAAGTATAAATATAAAGAAGTACATTAAAAAAAATATTGATCATTAATAGAATTACCTGCTGCAGCTTCCCTTTGTATTTCTTGATAATCCGAAGGTGACAATTTCGGCAAAATCGGCAGGAATGTGTTATTATTGGCTGTCAACAGATCAACCTCACGTCGTCCCGATAACGGTTGATGCGTCTTTTTCGGTCCCCGATCGACATTACTTATAGTATTTTGTCTTGACTTTTTTAGATTCATTATCAAACACTTCTTTGCCGTCATATGGCTCGAATACGAACCAGAGTGAGAGAAACGTTTGCCGCAATTGTTACATTGGAATGGCTTCTCACCGCTGTGAATGCGCAGGTGTTCCTGCAAGAAGAAAGTCGAATTTTAAATTAAAAGCAGACGTTATTAAGATTATATATTTTCTTTGTGATAATATACGAAAAAATTAATTTAGGTAAAAAATAAAAATTAATATTAAATTATCAAACATAGTTACTTACTTTATGATATAATATATAATGATATAAAATAAATACAATTAATTGTTAAAATAAATAAAACAGTGTATATAAAAAAATAATATAATAGAATAAAAAGTAGTGAAATAATATTATATATTATATCATTATACATATGTATAATAATAAAGTTACCTTAAGGTGATGCTTGAATTTGAAGGCCTTTTCACAATGAGGACACTTGAACTTTCGTAAAACGGCACTTTCGTCATGACTAATCATGTGCCTTTGTAACCGGTAGACGTTGGCAAAGGTTTTGCTACACACCTTGCAAGACTGTTGAATTATTAAAAAAATTAATTGTAATATATACACATAACAATATAATAGACGAGTTCAAGGAACAAATAACGGATATATGTGTGCAATATATATTAAATCATAAATGAAACAATTCACGAAAATCTTACAAAATTAAAGTTTACAAAAATAACATTTATGATTAAAAAACAAATATGTCGTGAATGGCATAAAAATAATAACACAAAATATAATAATGATTTGTTGACACAAATTTCCGTTTTATACTAGGCTCTCTTGTTTGATAGAGTTTATGTTGTTATTGCTCATGGACTCCAAAGATCAGCCAAGATTTCAAAATTCATCATCTACCACAAGTCTTCAAGATTTCAAAATTCATCATCTACCACAAGTTTCATCCAGAATTTTCGGAAAAAAAAATAAAATTGAAATCAAAGAACCATCTGAAAATTTAAAAAGTGTTGAAATAATGTAATGCAATTAAGTGCAAATTCAAAATTCAACAAAAACGTGACTCACCAATGGAGAAACCATAACAGACACAAAATCAAAATCAAATATGAAACCGCAGAACTGTGATATTCGCGATAAGATTGGAATTACTTATATATAATTGATTGCATATTTTTTTATGAGAAGCTTTCTTGTTATTAAGCGTCAATTATTTTTTTGACATGTTATATTAATTTCTTACACGAATATCTTTTTGATGTTTATTCATTTGGAAAATGAATTAAAAGTTGCTTGGTACATTTTATTGCCTAATGACTTGAATCGAAGGCTTGTCATGCTTGTTATTTATTGAGAATCATTAAGAATCTTTGAAGATGGAACAAAAGCACGATTTTTTTGAATATATAGATGTATGTAGTTTTTTATGCGTAAGAACATATATAGAACTGCATTCTATTATGACATGTGTTATTTTGTAATTCTGACAGTTGTTGAAAATGATCCGAAACAGAAACAAAACATTCAAATGTATAATAACATTTCTTTAAAGACAATTCTTTGTCTGTTTTCTAAGCTCTAGTTTCTTATTTTGTTCATTATGATATTTGTTTTAATAAAATTATTATTAGAGTCATATCTAATAATATATCATTTCGTTCTTGTCAAATATTTTATTGCTGAAAAGGCATAAATGAAAAATCAATATGTACGGATATACCTAATATTATTCTCATACTAAAAATGACTTATAATTTAGATTCACCAAGATAATTTACCTTGAGAAAATATCGACAAATAAGAGCATATGTCGAAAAGAAATTTATACATATAATTTAGCTAATTCGAAACAATTAGTTTCATCACAATCATAAAGTATGATTTACATTATTGTATAAAAGCGATCGGTTAGAAAAGAAAGTACACCAAGAAGGTACCTTCTATCACCTTACTTAAAGACATTCCTATTCCCTTCTCCGCGAAAATTGTGTGCGAAAAGCAGACAAGCGGCGCCTTTCAATGGAAAGCTGGCTCCTACTTTTGGAGGGGTATAATCGATAAGTTCCCGCGCAGGACGCGAACAACCAAGCCCCCGAGCAGCGAGTGTGTCCTTGACGGGTCATCGCGATCACTCACCACTTGGGAAAACTGGGCGTTGAGATCGTGCTTATCGATGGTATAGGACGTTTTGTGCGTGTCCTCGAGGTGAAGCTGCAGGACATGGGCGTCCCGACAGAGGATGCCGCACTGAGGGCACCTTTCGCCACCCTGATGCTGCTGCTGCTTCGCGGATGATCCGCCCTCGCTGTCGCCACCACCATCCCCGCGCGTTCCACCGCTACCACCACCTCCATCGCCGGCAACATCGCCACCTCCTGCGGTTGGCGCTTCACCCGCGCAACCTCCGCCCACCTTTGTATCCACGACACCTGCGTCGTCCTCGCTGCAGCCTGTAACACGCGGACACGTAGACGACTTTTATATTTCGTCTCGATAGCGCGCCATTGCGAGAAATACACAGAATGTGCGTTAAAATCGATCTCGAGATCCTAAGATGTGATTTTTTTTAATTCCTTTTTTTTCTATTTAAAAAAAAATCAATTCTTTAAATAATTAAAATAATAAAAATAATAATTCTTTAAATAATTATTTTATAGAAGAGAGTTGTATGTTATATAATATAAAAATTGATTATAATTGAAAATTTTGAGAGCGACATAATCAGCTGTTTTTATAAAATTAATAAAATTGAGGGGGAGTTTAATTTCTTTCTCTCAGATTTAAATTAATTTTTCTTTTAGATTCTTTTATTTTTCTTATTAAGTTCTTAAAAAATGTAGATTATATTGCATTGGTACGTACTATTGTATTACTATTGTGCTGGACTCGCCGCATTGAAAATACGCGTATAAAAGGAAGTGACTTTGATAACATAGTTTCATGACATAATAAAGATAAAAACCGATATTCGGTAAATTCGGATATTGGCGTATAAACACAGGATGCTGTAATAATAAACATAGAATTATCTCCATGTTTACAATAGAATTATCTCTATGTTTAAGACCGAAATTTGATTTTATTATTTAATCTTCTTAATTTTAATCTTATTAAATTGTTATTTTATTAAGTCAGATAAAAATATGATTTATCTAGTATTGCTAAAAATAATTTTCTATATTTATCCGTAATAATAAAGTGTAATTAACAAATTCCTTTTTTTATACATATATATCTACAATCTCGAAAATTAAATACATTCAAGTCATATATCTTTGCTACAAACGACATTTGAATTTAATAACGATGGCTGCGTTCAGCAGAAAAAGCTGCTTTACTGTTGTAAAATTTGTGAATCTGATTGGTATATGCTCTTAAATTCAGCCAAAATTAAGAGCATACATCAATCAGGCTCACGAATTTTACAACAGTTGCAAAGCAGCTTTTTCTGCTGAACGCAACCGATCTTAGACAAACAATCTTCACTTTACCAATAAAAATAAATATCTAATATACATAATTAGAAGTTTAAATGTAATAATATATAATTAAATATTTATGTAAAATTAAGAAGAAATTATATTCAAACAATCAATTCATTTTTTAATCATAAAATTATTATATTTATTATTTATATTTTTATATTGTAGTACTCAATTATGTATCTACTGAAAAATCACAAATGTCTGTGTAGTCAAATAATTCAACACAAGGTTAAAAGCATGATTGATTTTTTTTCTATAAAAAAAACTTGCTTCACTAAATATTTGTATTATCTTACGTATTCTAAAATATCTGAAAATGATAACATCTAACCCAGTTATTAATTAATAATTTATAAATTAATAATAATTTCAATAACAATCAATTAGAGATACTTATAAAACTGCATACTCCTCATATTCCTCTGTCATAACACGAGATATTAATGTTTCAGCTCCAATGGAAAACTGTACACTCGAGACGAGATAGCAAAGTCGACTATCCGAGATTCTCCGAGTTGGACCGCACGTGCAAGATTGGCCGCGATCAATCAACAACGCGTATCTGGCAGCGAGTATCGGTTTACACGTGCGATGCGTGGAGCTAATCTCGACTACCTTCGTCAATTACCAATATGCATGGTGGGTCATCGTATCAGTCACATAATCCCCGGCGTGGCGCACGTGTATGCGATGCGGAACGAATCCACGTATCTGACGTACTGAAAGAATAAAAGGAAAACAGAGAAAGAGAGAGAGAGAGAGAGAGAGAGAGAGAGAGAGAGAGAGAGAGAGAGAGAGAGAGAGAGAGAGAGAGAGAGAGAGAGAGAGAGAGAGAGAGCGAGAAAGAAAGAGAGCGAGCAAGAGAGAGAGAGAGAGAGAGACGCGTGCGCGATAGACACAATCGAACTACATAGATAGATAGGGCGTAACGCCAGAAGAAGAAATATCCATGAGCATTGCCAAATGTTTCGCGGCATCGCTATTAAGTACAAGTGCATCCGCAAGCACCACAGTATACACATTCACCGACGCCCACTTTGATGATCGAGCAATGATGCGTCGTTTTGAAGGAGTAAAGAAATTTCTACAATGCCAGACAGTTTCTATTATATGGATGTTTCATGAAAGATAAATAATACACAGTATATATATCTTGAAATTGAAGGTAAGTCGTTCAGAGAATTCAAAGAACGTTCTAACTTAGCAGCTTGTTTATTTTGGATGTCTGAAAGCGTTCTATATATTTTATTGAACAAATAAATTTTAATATGAGATATATATATATATATATATATATATATATAATTTTTTTTATATATAATGTGTTTTATATAGGAGTAAATATTTTTATGATTCTATCTATTTTATTTATAATTTATAGAATCTTAAAATTAAGCACACGCATATTTAATATACAGGATTTCTTAATAAGTGCGAAAAATTTTAGATGATTCTTTGTTGAAAATTAAGGGGGGTTTTTCATATAAACATTAAAGTTCGAATAAAAAATTGAATAGGGGTTGCTAGTTTCATCCCCCCATATAACAATACGAGAGGCTGAAAAAAATATTAATAAATAACATTTTTACTAGTAGAAAATATCTACCTACTTTCATTTCTTTAACTTGTTTCAAATTTGAGAAAAAAATAAAAATTTCATTTTTATCCCCATTTTTGGAGGAGTGTAACTTCACAGGGAGAGATGTAGGAGTATATGTTTATATGAAAAACCCCCCTTAATTTTCGACAAAGAATCATCTTCTAAAATTTTTCGCACTTATTAAGAAACACCCTGTATAAATCGTAGATTTCGTATAATCAAATATTAATATTATTGATAGTATACTGCAAACGAGTCGAGTAAAATATATAGGATTTCTTTATGTATACATATGTTCCGAGAAAAAATTGTAGACTAACGTCTACAATATATAATTATTCCAAGTGACATTCTAATCAGATTGATTGTGGAACATGGGAAATTAAATCCGATGAAATTACATCGCTTATTATTAACGAGTCATTAAAATCACATTGGATAAAAATGATCGGATAAATTAGACGACGGGAAGATCGAATTTTCGTCGCTCGCTACCCGCAATCCACTCGTTCGCGTCGTTGCCTCCACTCTGCCATTGTACGTGCGTGGCACATGTGTCATGCACGTGGAATGGAAAGAGATCGACGATGGCGACGAACGTTGGAGGAAAGCGTGTCGGACGAGCAGCATTGTTCGCCGTCCTCGTATGTAGGTGTGTTTTATGTAGGAAAGGGGCGGAAAAGCGGGACGGGGTGCGCGTTCGTTCGCACGAGCGATCTGTATGGAACGCTATGTGTGAAGAGAAAAAGTGGCACATGTCGGTGCCGCTCGAGCCCGGGTAACTTTTCGGGTGTGCCATTGTCAACGAGACCGGATTTAAATGCCCCCGACGTACAATTTCCCATCGATAATCGCACACGCTCGCGCTAATCCTGATGCCGATCCACCAAGCGACGCATTTAACCACTTGGCAGCCATGTCCGAGTTCAATTCAGTCGCGAGACATTAATTTATAATTATTTAATTCGCAATTAATTCTACGCTTTTAAAGTGTCATGCGTACGTAACGATTAATAGTATAATATATACGAATATTTAAAAAAAAAAAAAATATATATATATATATATATATATATATATATATATATATGGACAAATTATTTTTCAAAATTGATCCTTTATCTTTTGAATTTTAAAATTCGCCAAAAAAAAAATAAACAAAATTTTGAGATGTTAATAAATTAAATCTTTCTAATATGCAATTTATAAAATTTTTAATTTAATAAAAAGATAGTAATTATATACATGCAAAAAAATTAATTCAGTTTAATATTAATTTTTTCAAAAGTGTTTAGACGGAATTTATCCATCCATGAGATAATAATTCATGAGAAAATTAGTATTATATATTTCGAAACTTAATAACATTTCGAAAATGGTTTAAAGATTAATCTAAATTTTCGATATAAATTTAAATAAATTTTACTATTTATGATTTGTCTTTTGGCGAATGGAATAATTCATTTATCGATAACGAATTTATCGAGACGATTTCTTTGGCATTGCGACTTATCGTTTTCATCCAGTAAAGATACGACGTCCGGATATACTCGAATATGTCAGATGGTTAGGCATGCGAGATCCTATGGAAACGTCTGGAAATGCGCAGAATTTCTCGTAGCTATGCTTGCGATCGTGCACGACGTGAATCTCGCACCAGGCACCGCATATTAATCTCGCGCAGATAGGTAGATACGTATAGATCGCGAGCCGGTTGCTGCGAAAACGCCGGCCGTAATGAGTCGATGCGTGCAAGTTCGTGCCTTGTTGTAATTAACATGCTGTTACACGCTAACTTGGAGGAAACGACATAGGGTACAGACACATCAAGAAAATCTTCTCCATTTTATAAGCGTGTATAAAATAAACTTACACATGTGTTTTTCAATTAAAAATTAGGCTGTAATGATCGAAGACACTCCTACTCGTTTCAACCTCACTAAAAATAATAAACATATAAATAATGAAATAAAAGATGAAATAAAGAAAAAAAAAAGATATTTTAAAATTATTTTAATAATGATATATATGAAATTGTATATATAATTATTTTTTTGAGATTTATATATACATATTTCCCAACTATACGAGAATAAAGGATGTTACTACTTTCTTTTTCGCTCATTTGTGTTTTAATTAATTGTTGTAAATTGAAGTAAAAATCTAGGTATTGATCAACGACTTCATCACTTAGAAATATTTTTTTTAAATATTGTGTAAAATATTTATTGAAAATATTGTGCGTAACTGTATCAATATGTATACTGTATTCAAGGGATTTTTGAAAATTAAAATATATTAATAATTATGATAATATTTAATAATTATGATATATTGCTCAAAAAGTAAATATATGCGAATATTT